CAGCTTTGAAGTAGAAGAGATACTTTCATTTTCAGTATCTCCATTAGAGCTTCTTTTTGCAAGACCAGGAGTGTGAACTCTTGTGTCTGAGCCAAAATTCCAACCTAAGCAGAATGTACTCATCTAAATTTCCCTTTTGGTTTCATTTGGCCAAGGTATTCCTTGGTGTAGAGTTGCTGTGTACTGTTACAGCAGTTGCTGTGTTGGGAGCTTGGGAAGGCGCCCGCCTGGAAGAGGTTACATAAAACCTAAACCATAATAAGTCAGAGAAACCCCTGAGTGTGATGATTAAAAAGAGAAAACGATTAGGGAAAACACATCAAAGAGGCTCAGTGAGAGTCCTAAGAGGAAAAATACTGATTATATTTGTTTTGCTTTTGTCTTACATGAGGTAAAAGGCGTGTGGTGTGTCCTGGGTCGCCACCCTAAGGGGTGTGTACTTAAAGACAACAGAAGCAGACTCCAAGGCTTCCATGGGGTTTATTTTGGTTGCAGGGCTGGGGAGATAAGATATAATTGTACCATATACATAGTGGTGCTATCAATCTGATGGATTACCCTTCCCATACACCCTGAGCACCTTGCCTACCCTCTGCTGCTAATCTCTGTCTACCAGGAGAACTTGCTTTCTGACCTTTCAAGAAACTTTCAACTGTGATTTTGAAAACAATCACAGAAATGTTTTCTTTCTCCAAACGTGCAGTTCCTCTCTCTGGTGAAAACACTCAGAGGCATCAGATGGGTAACATTGATTGCTAAAGCTGGTTTGCCAGTTCAGTTCAATAAATTGTGAATCTTAGAGGCTAAAATTTGTTTAAATTCCACTCTGGGTCTGGGAATAAGAGTAGACATTTATTGATATTCCTGTTGTTCACACTCCACTGGATTCTGTTATTTGAGAACAATGTTAGATTCACTTTTTAAAGTTTTTTTTAGACTTGGTCTGACCTGGGAACCAGGTTAGAAAAGGTTTGGAGTAATAAAATATGCAAAATGTGGTTTTAGGGCTCTCCTTTAATGTGGAAAGAGGAAGAAAAGTTTTAGTCAGTTATAGCAAATCCAGTAAGGGAACTGTTTACTTAACTCTCCCAGTTATTTATTTTAATTTAACTTCTCAGAACTTTTCAGCTGGGTTTAGTTAATGTGGGCTCACATATTAAAGAATGGGTTTTACTGATACGTGTTTTTTAGTTGTAACCCTGACTTCAGTAGACTGACTTCAGCCATTTTCTTTTGGACATTCTGATACAGTAGATCCCAAAAACAAAAGGAAAATAACCGAAAAGGTTTTTGGAAAAAGGGAAATATAAAATATAATCCTGATAGACTTAGGCAGGGAGATAGCATTTGAGTTCATTTTCCCATTAATATAGCTAGCATATATAAATTTCTGAGGCAATAGTGCATATTCTTTTCCTATATCAACAAAAATAGTGGTAAAAAATGCAAGGAATAGGAACACACTGTGTTGGTGCCAGTTGGGTGATGCACAGACTTTGCTGGTTATGCATATTTGACTTTGGCCTTGTTAGAGCCTTCCTAAATTTGGGTCCAAGCTGCTGGACAAATTGTCTTGTACTTTATGCTTTTGCACATAAAAAGAGGCTGCTTGGAACAAAACATTCCAGGTGAAAGATCCTTGCATTGTCCTTATATCCTTCTGCCATCTTGGTTTGCTGGCACCCTGGAAAATCCACCTGTTCTCCTGGCTCCTTTGGGACTCTGGAGAGCAGGAGGTGAATGGGCTAAAGCAGAGACAGAACAGAGAAAGGTATTGGTGCAACACTTTCCCTCACACCTCACAGGCCCAGAGAACGTTTCTCTGTCTGGGATGCCCTGTCCTGGTCCATTGGGTGCACTGACTTTTTGTTCAGCCCAGGAGTCTACCCTTTTTTCCCTTCTTGAAAGAACTGATCCAAAATCACTCTGTTTGTATTACCAGTGGATCTGTATTCATTTAGTTTTGATCTGATCCTCACAAAACATCAGAGCTGTTTGCAAAGCTAATAGCAGCATAATGACAAAACAGCAGTGCCAAATGTCTTTGGTCTTGCCCTTTTTCTTCTTCTTAATATCAAAGCTAAAAACATGGTCTTGATTTATATGCAGAATTACTGATGTTAAAGCTATATAATAATACATCTAAAGCCTAGCACTGTTTATAAATACACCAAACATGTAACTTAATAGTTATTCGTGCTGAATCTTTTATTTTCCTGCATACTCTGTCCTACCTTTGTTACTGAGGGCACTAATGCTGCATTAATGTAAGCAGAAACAGCTGCATTCATCTTCATTTTATTCTCCCAAGTCACAGCAACGTGCTGGAACGAGAGCCATTGTCTGGAGCAAACCTTGTGAAAGTCTTTTAAGGGCATCCATCTGGGCAGACTTTGTGGTTATAGAAGGGCTGATGCTGTAGGTATTCATCCCACTAATGGTCTCATTGATTTTTATTTACGCTCTTTGTAGGTTGCCCAGAGTCTCAGTCTGAGTAAGAGCTGCAGAAGATGTGCTGAATTCAAGAGCTGCAGGCGTTTATTCAACTAAACCCAGGTTTCTGTATCTGTTTTTAGGGTGCTTGATCAAAGTGGGGCCTCCAGAACAGCCTGTGCAGAGAAGTACAGTTGGTGAGCAGTGTTAAAAAACAGGTGCATAAGTTTGAAAATGTTGATCCAAATCACATTATTATAAGTAGTAGGGAAATGTCATGACTTACTGAGATTAAACAAAGACCTGCTTAGAATCTTGTGACTTCAGCTCATAAATGGATTTCATCACTCATTACAGCTGCATAAACAAATGCATGTGGTACATATGCATGTTTTGTTTTGGGAAGTTGTTGTTTTTAAAGTCCCCTCAGAATTCTTTTTTTAATTGCTCCTAATGAGCCAAGGCTCCCTGGTTCTGGAGCAATGCCTGGTGTACCTGAGCAGCACAACCCACTCATTGCTTTTAAAAGGGAATAAAGTTTCCCAGCCTCTCTCCCCTTCTGGCAGCCGAACTGCTTTGGCAAGCAGGTTATGTTAAAGGAGAAATTTACAATATGAAACCTGGTGTCAAAACTTTTATTCCTTTTATGAAAGTAGCCTTGCCCTGGTGCTCCTTTGGAGCTATGGAAATGTAATCCCAGCCCAGTCAACAACTGGAGAAAGTCCTACACAAGTCTGAGCTCAGACTAAGTTTGTCACATATTTAATGTATTTAATTTGGGTAATTTTTCCTGTTGTCCGTGACCTCATTTCTGCTGATGGGCCTCTCACAAGGAATCCTAGAAATGGATGCCCTGTGATTACCCAGGGGGAATTAGTACTTCCCCCATGTTTTCTTGACAGTATGTTACAAGTGGGATGTGGCAAGAGGAATCCAGGTTTTGGTCTTCCTGCTGTGGTTGTTACCTGAAGGTACAAGTGGTGCAGTAGTTTGGGATGCAGACCAGACACTTCTCTGTGGATTTAAAATGTTGTACAGATCAAAATTGTCAAGCTCTTCTCATCTCTTTAAGTTTGAAGTAGCTGCTTTCAGCTAAACCCACACTTTTCAGTATCTCAGACAGGCAGTTATCAAAGTTTAACCTCAAAAAACTTAAGATGGCAAAATATGTTGGTAATTCTTTGAATTTCAATGTGCCATTTCTTAATCACAACTGAGAAGCTGGATTAATCCTGGGTGGGTAGTGTCTCATTATAACTTTGCACTGCAAATTACTTTTTAACCATATCTAAAGGGAATTTTTTTTTTCTTTTTATTTCCCCAAAGAAAAATACTCAAGGATACTGCATTTTTATGGCCATTCTTATGAAAAAGATTGAAAAATCAAATTTTAAAATGGGTATTGCTGACAGAAAGGGGATACTTTTTTTTCTATTTTAGTCACAGCCTCTTCTTTTTATTTATAAAAATTGGAGTCAGGAAAGTGAAAAGAGCTACAATATGGGAGAGTTCATGGTCAGGATTGTTTATATGTATCTCCTATATAGATGGATTTGTCCTGAAGTGCTTTAGTTTGTTTCACTCACTTGAAAAACAAAACAGGTAATAACAAGAAAACTCACTTAAATAGAATGAAACAAAAACCTTTTGGCTTTTCTGTCAAGCGGCCTAAATTTTTAGGCAACTGGGGAGGAGTCTTAATTTTGTGTGTTCCTAAAGATTGCTTAAACCAATTGCTGAGTGTCTGAGGCTTTGGGTGTCAAAGCCCTTGGAGAATCCAGTTGCTCCTCACCTCTGGAAACCCTCCCTCTTACGTAGGTAGCTAAAAAGATGTCTGACATTAGAGACTTGCGCTCCAAAATGTTGCTGTGAATGCCTTAAAATGTCACATTAATATCAAGAACGGTTCACCCACAAACCATCTGGCTTTGCAGATCTCACAACGATCTTTCAATTAGTTAATTAAGCTTCCCTGTTTCCTAATAAGGCCTATTTGAAATGCTCTGAGGCTGGGGACAGCAGGGCCGTGGGTCTGCACCGTGCAGGTGTGGCAGTGGCCAAGGGTCTCCCCGGGCAGCAGGAGACCCCGGGAAGCCCTGCCGGGCCTTACCTGGATGTGCTGCCTGGGGAAATACCTGGCTTTGTCCTTATAAGGCCAGGGAACTGTTGCGGGAGCCCTGATCCTGCCCCAGCTCTTCCCAGCCCGCTCAGCCAGAGTCCTAAAAAGGCAGTTCCTTGCTCCTGCTTCCCACAGCTGAGCTCCCCAGGGAGGACAGCACTGCCGAGCCAGGCATTGCACTCACAGCGAGAGCCGTGCTTACGGACTGTGCTGTTGCTTCTCAAGGCAGATGTTGTGTTTAGGGGCACTGCTGGGCTTCTCCTTCCTCTTGTTGAGTGATTAATGAAAATATAACAGAGAGCGGTGTCCGACGCGCCGGCGCGTTTCGGGAACGGGGTAGATCCCTGTAGGATCCGCGCAGGGAAGGAGACGCACGGTGGGAAGCAGCTCAGAGTCACAGTCTTGAAAGCATATTAGGTTATGGTTCTATAATAGAAAGTGCTCAGCAGCAATATGAGCTCAAAGCAATCTGTGTCCTTTTTCCTCCCTCCCCTGGCTGCCAGTCCTGCTCTTTGCTTGTGCTTGCTCAGTCCTTTGTGGGGCCATGCTGGGCTCTTGGTTTCATTCGTGCTGAAAGCCAGGAAAGGGTTTTCTGCTCAGATTCACAGAGTGGCATCACAAAACACTGTGCTCATGTAACTGAGCGAGTGGTGAGTAGAAAAGAGGGGGGAAAAGTTATTAATGCCCCATGCTCTTCCTAATGTGAAACATTTAGGTGCTGTGCTCTCCTTCTGAATAAAAACTCTTCAGATGCTGGGTATTTTATGAGACAGTTTTAGAGGTTTAATTGAAATTTTCTGAAGGATCTGATTATTGGCTTATTTATTTCACATGCCAAGTGACAAGCTTAGTTAGGGTCTGATAGATTTTTAAAGACAAGTTCTTTACTGGAGCTGGATTTTGGAAAGGCTTGAATATGCTAATTCAGAAGGGGTATTGTAGAAGATTTTTTTCTTTTATTAAATCAACAAATCATCCTACCTTAATTTGAAATAACAAAGACGAGTGTTTTTTGAAATTTAAGATCTGTGAAATTCTGGCACTGAACAGTTACATGCTCTTTTCAGAAAGGGACTTAATTTATTTTCGAGGGGGCTGTTTGGGAGGAGTCTCTGGATAGTGTGTGCTCTGTGGAGTGTGGGAGACATTGGGATGCAGCTCCAGCTCTGAACATGTTGTACTCGGGTGCAGCAGTTTGTCTGCTCAGAACCACATGCTTCCTTCCTTTATCAGGCTGCTCCTGGCAATCCTGCTCAACCTTTGGACTTTATGGCCTCTCTCAGGATGTAGCATTGGTTCCCTAATATCTCTTCTCTTGTCTTTTGCCAAGTTCCCAGCAGGCAATGAGGCCATGACAAGCAGGGTCACAGGTGTTGAAGGAAGTCAGCAGCACAAACAATTATTATAAAACTGGATTCTGCAGTTGCAGGGATGAAATGCTGCTCTTTATGAATCTGGAACACCATCCCCATCTGTTTTTCTGAGTTTATAACAAGTTTTCTAGCTCCTTTTGTATCACTGCTAGGTGTGTGCTGTGGATTTAGTAGGTGGGGTTAAGAGTACTGATGGTATAGATTGAAAAAGAAAAGAAAAAGGAGATTGCTGTAGGCTCATTTAATGCACATTGTTAGCTGAGATCTGGTCTGGGTTGCTGATGTTTTATACTGCTGGTTTCTGAAATATCTGTCATGTAAAACATTAAAACAAGTTATTCCCATGTGTGAATGGTAGTAAAGGAAATATTTAGACAATAAGGAAGAGGGTGATTAGAGGGGATCGTTGATCAGGCAATAAGGAAGAGGGTGATAGACAGTCTGGTACCACGAGGCAGGAGGTGACACACACCTATGGAATTTGATAATTTAGGAGGACCATTTACAGCTGTAGGCTTAGGACACTAAACATTGCCAAGAAAAGTTTAAGAAAACTGTGGCAAAGGGATGGTCCTGCCTCTGCCAAACAAGGCAGTGGGTAGCCAGAAAAGATTGTGTTGGAATGTAGGAAATACCCCTCAATAAAGAAGTTCTTCCCCTTGGCATTTCTGTTTGGCTGTTGGTTGTGGTCCCAGCATACACCCTGTGTCATGTTTTGTCACCCAGAGCTTTGGGAGATGTGTGATTTTGGGAAGACAAACACATGAAATGACAGTGGGAGGACTGCCAGAAGCACACTATCTATTCTGAATTCAGAAAGTGCCCTCATGTAGCTTTTAAAGTGGAAAATGTTGCCTGTCTTCCATACTCTGTCATTAAGGCAGAGCACCTTTAGTGATGTTGGTATTTTTTTATAGATTATTCCATCTGCAATCCTTTGGCTGAATGCAGTTATAGTGAAATCAAGGACAGTCTTCTTCCAGTACAATTAAGTTAAACTGTAGAATTCAGAAAATATAAACGTACCTGCCTCAAAAGGTTTCACTGCTTCAACCACATTGATAAAAGAGTGAAAAGTTGTGATTTTGAAGGTGAAATTGAGAAAACTTGGGGCCCTTTCCACCACAGAGGTGGTCTGAAGTCCTATGGTATAATGGTTACCCTCGTGTTAGCCCTCTGTGCAGGCTCAACCCTTTGTTCATTGTCTGATCATCAATCTTCAGTTAATTCAGCGATACTTGTGGTGGAAAAAGGTGACTAAAGGTATCTGAATTTGCCCTTTTGCATAGGAGGAATTCAGCTACTGTTCTGATAACCCAGGGTAAAGCACACTTTAGAACAAGCCAGTGCTGTTAAAACCTTGTGTAAGGAACTGTAATCTGTGTTTATAAATGGGACCATTATCAGAAAACGTCACTAAGAATCTAAGGAATCTTTAACCAATAGCTTATTGCTTCCAGGGATGGACTCTGGAGGCAGTTTATAAAGAACTAACATTTTACTGTTAGTGTGTTTGGCCAGGAAGCAAATACACTTTGCTGGTAAGGGTGTTTCTGTGTAAACTGTACAAACCCATGTGCTCAAGGCTGGCAATGGCATTGCCACTTGTGGAGAGCAAACTTACAGAATTTAGAAAGTCAACCACTAGAGCTCAGTTTATTCACTGCTTTAGCACAGCAGATTGGAAATCAGAGGAATTAGTACTGGGGAGTCTTTTGCTGTTAATTCACTCCTGTGGACCATATTCATTGATATTTCAAAGGCTGTTATAATTTCTTTTTCACTAAGTGCAAGTTCTTCTGTTTTAATGCAAAACCCAAACTCGTCAATGCTGGCAACAGGCATCCTAAAGGCAAATGGACCAGTCAGAGCCCAGAGTGACCTGGTATGCCCTCGTAGCTGACTCTGCTTTGAGCAGGAGGTTGAACTACATGTCTTTCTGGGCTTCCTTTAAACATGAGTTATCTTATGATCTGGTGCTTTGTAAAAATGGTAAATGTATCTCCTAATTGTATCTCCTTTTGGGGTACCATACTTCAAACATTTTCTGAGATGGTTGCTTTCCAGAAAAGACTTCAGCACTGAGCCCTTTCACCTGCCTGACTCTAATCTCACAGTCAGTCCCACTGCAGTGAAATGTCATGTTATCCTTTGAACATGGCTACTCAACCCCTTTGCAGAGAGCACAGTGCCAGCCACAGGTCCCAGTGCTTAGTACATCACAGGAGCCAGACCATGGGTGTATTGTCCACGTGTAAAATGGGGGCTTAATAAAACTCACAGGGCCTGAGGTATTTTTCATGAGCCTCAAGAGCAATATATGATAATCCTGAAGGAGTTTACCAGAAGGAAGGTGGCATTTCCTACGGCTCTCCTCACATGTGGGTGCATCCCAGCTTTAAAGGTACAAACCAGAAACACCTTGAAGTGCTGGGCTATAAGCTACAGCAGCCCAGCTGCTGTTGTGCAAGCTGTGTGATGCTTGTGGTGAGGATGGGAACCTTAAAAATTGGATAGGTAAAGAGCAGGAAATGGGAGCCATTACCTCTGTACCAAGGGAAGTGGTTCCCCCTGTGAATCACAGCTCTGGTTTCGCTGTGCTGCGTGGGAGTGGCGTCCTGTCCCAGGAGGATATTCCCAGCTCCTGGGGCCTGCCAGGTCTGACTGCTGCAGGGAAAAGGAGCAGGACAGTCCTGGTCCCATCAGCATCACTCCTGTGCAGCCTCCCTCCATCCCATGTGGAGCAGGGAGGATGAGGATGAGGATGTGTCAAGCCCCGTGTGCTGCATGAATTGATGCAGTCCTTTACTGTTAGGAATGGCCAGAGAGGGACAAGGGCTGCAGTCCTTTACTCAAGAGTTTGGCCTTGTGCCACACAGTCCCTGGGTTATCCCTTGGAGAACAAAACCTGCTGCTGAGTGAGACAGCCCAGGTTGCCAAGTCTTGCCTTCCCCCCGCCATGAGTCACCCGGCCCTGGCAGCGGCTGGAGCCCGGCTCCAGTGGCACAGGAACCTCCTGCGCTGGCTCACGCTGCAGCCCGTCCTGGAGGAAACCCCATCGCTCCTGCGCCGCTCTGCCCGTGCCAAAGGCTGCCACACCCCACCTCTTGGGGCCTTCTTACTCATAACGGAGACAGACACCGAAACCAGGCAGTCCCTCCTCTGCTCCCTGGGCTCGCTGCCTCCCACAGCCTTTTCCAGCGCCCCTTCCTTTGGTTCTGTCTAGTCCAAAGCTCCTGCACAGGAGCTGTTTCCTCCGTTCTCAGGAAGAGAAGGCAGAAATGAGACAGATCCTGGCTGTTGAGTGTTGGTGGTATTTATCCTTCCTAAGCCAAATAATGGGATAAATCCCCAAACCTCTGTTCATCCAAGGCTGTGTGCGTTTACTGGAGCAGTACAATTAATGACACAAGCCATGAGGGAGCACAGTGTGAAGGGACAGAGCTGTGTCTCCTCTTCCTTATCTTTCTGCTCCAATTAAGTGCACCTCTGATGCTGAGGTGCACAGAGCTGCTCCCCAGCTCACTCACAATCAGCAGATCATTTAGAGGTTTGTATTGTTTGTAAATCGTGGTGGAGAGAAAGCAGCATCCAAGTCCCCAAGTCTTCTAGAAACGTTGTGGCTCACCAAAGATCTTCCATCTCAGCCCTTGTTTCTTACTAAGAATTTATCCTCATCATAGAGCTAGAGATGCAGCAGAACCAATAATTTTGGGAATTTAGGTCTTTGATATAAATTGAAGTTAATTTTATGATAATAGCAAGCTGATGCAATGGAATTTTTGTGTCATGAGATGACTTCACAGCAACAAAGTCTGTCATTAAATCTTGATGGCAATCCATGAAAGTGCTTGCAGTTTTGGACAAAAGGTGGCATTAATCTAGTAAAGTTAACAAGGGAGTGAAAGCCTCTAGGCCTGATAAGACTGACCCAGGGCAGGTCTTTTGGTCTTTTGTGGATGGACTTCAGCTTTATCTGCTCATATGCCAAGATAGCCAGATGTAAACTATTTATATTAGAGAAGTTAAGTGTTCGTGGTAAAGTAGCTTGTGGCCTGAAACAATAACACTTGCTAAGGGCCTGAATTTATTAAGTCAATAATTAGCTTATTAGGCATATAGCTGTGCCTGTGTAGGTGTCTGAAGTTTACATTCCGTCTGGTTTACATCCAGTGAGTTCAGGTAATTTGTAAAAGATAGTCCATGTGTACAGTGAGGAGTGGCAAAAAAGATTTGTAGAAGAAACAAAGGGGGAAGCCACACATAGAAAGTCTCAG